TCACAGAGCGGACACAATGCAGTAGAGGTAAGAGCTCAGTGTTCTCGCAGGTAAGTCCCTACAGACCCCTAGCATTCATCATTAGCTTATGGCTTATAGGACACATAAAGCTAGTGAACAGGAATTAACAAGCTACAACAGCCATATGTTCCTGCTGGAGTGAAAATGCAGTGTCCTCAACCAGACGACCTTCCACTTCCCCTAAAGTCATTCGAAACGTTATCGCCGCCAAACCCAAAGTCGACAGCAGCCCCCTGGAGGTAAAACTCATCTGTGCACTGTTGCCCCCTCCTGTTAAATTAACTTTGCAGTGTGGAGGATAATTTTAAGAGAATTATTGAAACAAACATTTTATACATGTTTTTACCTCGTTGATGATCAGAAGAAAAAAAAAAGTTCAGCAGACAGCGGATAGAAGAGAGTAGAAATTCTATGTAAGCTTTCCATATTTGTGGAGCATTTAAATAAAATCAGAATTTAAACAGTATGCAGACAGCTCACTAATCTCTCAAAGATTACTTTTTGTTTGAGTTAATGCATGCGTAAAATGAGTTGTTACTGTTTAAAAGTAGAACTATTAAAAATAATTTTCATCACTTGAAATAAACCTGAAATAAAACAAAATATACATATTACATGGAAATCTTGAAATTCTTGAAATACAGTTCCTAGAATCGTTAATGAATGTACCGATGCATGCTGTGCTCACCATATTGCCACCATATCAAGTTTAAAAGTTATTAAATTTTTGATGAATGAACTGAATGAATAATCCACAATACTACAGTGGTAATATTAAAATCATACTAAAGTGTTGCATTCATTTATTTATTTTTAATTAATGTCAACATGAAAACTTAATTGGTTGAAACATGACATCAGGAAGTTGTTTAAGAATAAATATTTAAAAATAATGCAGATTTGTTTTTCTTTTGGAATAATGTGCACTGATGAATCATTCACAATAACCCTTGTAAAAAAGAAGTACACTTTAGCATACTTTAAAAAAAGAGTAAATATGTAAATAATATACATTAAAAGCATACTCCAGTCCGAACTGAATGTACTGCATTCAGATTCTTAATTGCATGTTAATTGCAATTAAATAAAAAGTATTAAATTTAGATGATTTGGAATTCAATTTAGAATGTTTAAAAGGGCTTAAGCATGCCATTATTTGGAATTTCATAATCACTTAGAAATATGGTTCAAGTGTACTGCCACATCTACCGACAAGCCAATCAAAATATGTCCCCCCAATGTAATTGAAACTTGTGTGTCTCAGTGCCTGTATTTCAAATTATTTGTAATTACACATTTATTAAATTCCATTCAATACCAAAGTGCACTTCCTTATCAAAAGGGAAGACAAGAAACATTGAGTAAATAGATTATTTAATTGCAAACCCAGACTCAGTGCAAACCAGGTAGCAAGCGTTCAGAGTTTCCACTGTGGCAACCACAAGAACAAGTCCCAGTGATCTCTAACATTAATCTGATGCAGCATCATAACCTCTCTGCAGGGGGATAAAAGACAAACCCTACATAAAATACATTACCCAGAGGGCCGTGCGATTAGCATCATGAGGTAACACCATGTCTTGTGCATGTGAGGGAATTCAAGGACACAACAGCAAAGAGGCACTGTGTCAGTGCACTTTATTTAAACAGATGATCTTGCTTCTGTGTGACACATGGCAGGTTTCATTTCATATGCAGCAAGCGTTCAGAGTTTCCACTGTGGCAACCACAAGAACAAGCCCCAGTGATCTCTAACATTAATCTGATGCAGCATCATAACCTCTCTGCAGGGGGATAAAAGACAAACCCTACATAAAATACATTACCCAGAGGGCCGTGCGATTAGCATCATGAGGTAACACCATGTCTTGTGCATGTGAGGGAATCAAGGACACAACAGCAAAGAGGCACTGTGTCGGTGCACTTTATTTAAACAGATGCACTTGCTTCTGTGTGACACATGGCAGGTTTCATTTCATATGCCCACAAGTCTTAGAACCTAAATAGAGCTCATGGAGTGTAAAATGGAAGTTGTGAGAATGCAGTAGCCTTACACAGATATTTCAGTATTGATGGTTCAAAACTGACACTCAGAAAGTAGCAAATTGGCATAGACCAGTAAATGAAATGGGGCACATTGACTGCTGACCTTTTTTAGGAATCAATACGATTTAATAAAAAGGCAAATCAAAAAGATTAAAATAGCAGCAAGTAAATAAAAGGATGTTGTCTGACAGCTTTTATCTTAAGCCTTCTACAGACTGCACCGTTTTAGCAATCCTATAAGATCATTGCAAATCACACTGTGCAACATGGATCTAATAAACTTGGGTACGACGTGCATGCAGACTGTACGATGGTGACACATAGTGACTCGCAGGCTACGACGCAAGTTACTATGAAAGAATAAAACGTCATTAGCATGCGCTAGTGGTAAACAAAAAGAGCTTGATGAAGCACAATTTGGCAACTGTCCTTTTTATGTTTGCTGATAAAAAGATGAAGCTGTGAAAGAGGAAGTTAAAAGAGTTTGTGGTAAGCAGTTTTAAGTTTTAGCGCCATGACGCGTTGATCAACACGCCATTTCATGTCGCATTTTTATTGGCTGGTCAGTAAACGTGGGTCATAAAAGTAAACACACTGTGCGATGATCATGCTGAATTTATGACACTGTCAGAAAACTATCTTTGGCCATCTTTGGCCGTCTTTGAACCTCTCTCACTGTACGACATAGGAGCACCGATTAGGAGCCACGATCACAGAAATCGTCACGATTGTTTC